ACCTCATTCCTAGTCTTCTGAGCACCATCTAGTCTCTTAAAACATTCTGCATTGCCTCTCTGAGAATAAGTGTATTTTGACTTTTTTCTTTTTGATGAACTCTTTGTCCTTCTTTCTCTCTCACTTTAGATCTCTTCAACTAGTCCATCTTTCATTGTGTCTCTACTCCTCCACCGGTTGCCATCTGCCTCCTTATGTCTTTCAAAGCTCTCTTCCTTGTTTTAAACTTTTCTCTGGGCTTGCTCTTCCTTCCTGTCACTCAGATTCTTCTTTAGTATCTCCCATCTTTTGTTTCTCTACCCTGCCTCTGCTTTGTCTCTCTGACTGCTTCTCTGGACACTCCTTCCCTGGGTCTATCTTTTTGCCTCTTTGTGTGCATCAGGCTTAGTGTTCGCACATGGTGCGTGACCAGGGGTCCTAAACATCTCCACATGGGCATTGCTGTCAACACCCTGCAACCTGAAGAGGTGGCCTCCCATGGTTGGCTTTTTCCTAGGACTGCTCCTTAGATATAACATTGGCATGCTCCTATAGCACCTGGATTCTATCTCTGTACTAAAATCAGGCATGCAACATGTGGCTGTCCTGGCCAGAAGCTAATATGGGATATAAAGAAGTTACAGACATTAGGGAATTGGGAACAAGGGGAGTTCTGATCTGGGAGTCAGGAACTCTTAACTTTCAGCCGCAGAGAAGTCCTAAATCACTGTGAGCATGGGGCAAATAATGTATTTCTAGACTTCAGTTTCTCCTTCTACGCATCAAAGAGACAGGATTAAACTAATTGATCTTTAAGCATTTGTCTAGTTCAGAATTTTAAATTTAATTTTTTTTTTATAAAGCAGAAGTCCAGATTGCTTTTTCAGGGCATTTTGAGAGAGGAAATGAAAATACAGTCTTCTTTTGATATCAATAATTGTTAGGTGTGGTCATCTGGAGAAGGTCGGGGTGGGGGGTGGGATGGGGGACAAAGCTGAGCTGTAGCTGTCACATGGAGACTCTGTAGCTGGTAGTGATTTGGAAATTCCAGGCCAGGCGGTTGTCAGGAAATGAGGCATATGGCAGGCCGGCTGGTGGCTGTGCCTGTTGGCTACTCTCGAGGGCTGGACCGGAGATTGCTTAGAAGAGGAAGGAAAGGAAGGAGGCGGTGGTGAGAAATGACAATTGCCTTTGATGCTGAAAAACTTGCAGGCCTTCTGGAATGTGGAGGACACTGAAGCTCCAGCCTCTCTCTCTGGGGCTCTGGAAGGGAAACTTGAAAGAAATCAATACAGACTCACTCAATGTGGCTTGCCTTCCCACAGTGAGAAGTCAGGTGACTTAGTAAGTGGATCCAAGAGGTGACATGGTCTGGGGATGAAAATCATTGCAAAGGAAGCTTAACTGAGGCCAAGGATGAGAAATCTTGAATGGAATGGGTAATTCCAACATAGTGGTAGTTTAAGAAGTTCCCCAAATCTTGAGGCTATCATCAGAAGAGAAATGCCTGCTCTCTTCACTATTTTCCCCTCCATGAGCAGATCAGGGCAGACCCAGGTCCAGCTACTGAGGCAGCCCAAAGTTTAACAGTTGGGAACAATGAGCAGAGTGCTTAAAGCAGAATGAGGACCCTGATGGAGCTAAATTCCACCCGAGCCTGGCTAGGCACAATCAGGCCAGCCTTTAGGTTCCATGATCTTTAGTACCGACCAGTCTGTTGGTAGTGGGAAGAGAAGCATTCTGGGAAATCAGGAGCCCTTAGACAATAGATCAGTCCAACAATGACTTGCTTTGTGACCGAGGTCCTCCCCCATATGTAAAATGAGAGTCAAAGATTCTATGAAGTTCTTTCAAGATTTGGCAACTTAATACCCATGTGAGACTTCCCCTTGAAGCATGCTAATCTTCACAAAATAGAACAGGAACTAGTACATTTGATCATTTATCACCTGGCAGTCATTCTGATAGTTGCTGTGAGAAATCAAATTACATCAACATGCAATGCACTTAACACAGTAGCTGGCATCTAATACAGTACCCCATTTAAAAAACGGGGCATTGGATAATGCTTTCCATGCAAGGGACTGAGATTTGAAGCAAAGTTTATCTGAAGGCCCATTTTCCTGACTCCCCTCATGTTTACCCATATGCCTAGGCCTTTGAGAACTCCTTCCAGGGTAGGAAAATGCCCTTATAGCTCTCTCCCAAGAGACACTGTTCTTTACTCTCACTGCAAACTCCAATTCACATGCCATGTCCTCAGAGAAACTCTCTGTTCTTCCTCCTAATTCCTTTCAAAAGACTTCACATGGTAACTCTTGAGAAACCATGGGCATTCCTTAGAACACTGCTTCACAAATTAAATTTCACTACTATTTTTCAATTGTGCATGTCATCTTTCATGCTTGTCAATTCCTTTTCAAAGGGAAGGGATAATTTATTTGCTCTTTCTTTTGGATTCCAAACAACATTTTCTATCCATCATGATGCTCAAGGCAGAGTTTCACAGACTATTAAAATTATAGAAAACTGGCAGTGTAGAATCTCAGCATTGTGTACAATTCATCCAGACTATCCTTAAATTTCTTCCAAGCTTTTTCAAAAAAGTTTCCCTCAACCTTGGTTTGAGCATATGCATACTAGAAAGAAACTTTCTTGGAAATTGGAGGATCCAACTCTGCCAATCAATTGTTGTGTGGCTGCCAGTCACTTCTGTCACCCTTGAGTTCTCTCTCAGCCTTTCCCTTCTCTTGCAACCACTCACTGGACCTCACAATGATCTCTTCAAATCCCCTTTCTCTCCAATATTCTTTCTGTCATCCTATTTGATTAAAGCCACCAATGTGCTCTCACAATTTCCACAATAGACATCCAAATTGACCCCCCATTTCCACTTTCTTCCATGCCATCTGTTTCCAAACTGCCACCACGAGGTTGAAAAATGCAACTCAGGCACCCTACTCCCTTCTTTAGTGAGTTAAGAGTTCTCTGACAGGTGTTAGAATAGATTTGGCTCAGGAGACACATATGCTCCGCCCCTGTTTGGGCTCCAGCCCACCATTCATCTTACTTCCCTGCTCAACACAACTTGACTCTAATCTCCTGTAACCATCAAATCTTTCCCTTCTTAGAATATTTGTCTCTGGTTGATACTTTCTCCAATGTTAACTGCCTCTCACCTTCCAGGTATTAGCTAACAGATTCTTCATCTGAACTGTAGACTCCAAAGCCTACTCTTGCCATCTAATCCAACAGTGGCATTCTCAACACTCAGCTGAAATTAAATTAGATCCCATTGTTAATGGCTTCCCTGAAGCCCTGTATCTTTACCTTATTAAGCAAATTAAATATATATACAAGATCCCTCTGTCAACTGTTCCTAAGTGCCAGGGGGTTCGAGGCCATTTACATCTAATTTTCCATTGTATCCTCAATTACCATCATGGCACCTGGGACATCGTAGGTGCTCAGAGAGCCTGAGATGACCACAGAATGAACACTTTTAGGGAATTCATAGTTTGATTCTCATTCTCTACAATGAGAGATGAGGGGGTATACTGAATTCAAAGGTAAAAGCAAGGCTTTAGAGTCAGCCTTACATCTGAATGGATGACTTACATCACTGGATGGTGACAGTGGGAAAGTCACTCAGTCTCTCTGGCATTGACATTCCATTGTGACATGGAGATCCTAGTTGCCCAATAAAGATGCTAAAGTGCATTATCCTGCCTCTCTCATTTCTGAGAAGGCGGTCTTGGGAAATTACCTTAAATTTCTGATTCTCATCTGTGGTCAGGGGATGATAATAGTCTCTGTCTCTCAGGACCAGTGTGAGAATGACGCAAGTTAGTAGATGATGGAAAAGGCTGGAATGCCCCAGGAATGTGCTGAATTAATTTGATTTGTCATCATCATCATCACCATCACCATCATCATTATCATCAATAGTAGCAATAGTGAAAAGCTTAAAATAGAGTAATTCTTAATAGCTGATAACCACATTACCACTCCTAGTGCAATGATACACTAATAATAATATGATAAGGAGGGAGACAGTGATGACCATAGTAGTGATTTGTTACTAGTTCTGCTTTTTAAAAAAATATGATTTCAAATGATTAGGAGGATATAGCTTGATAATAATACCCTATTCCTTAATCATGGAAAACTGTCTAAACATACAGTTTTTGGTTTTAGAAATCCATCATATTACACGTATTCTACCATCTTGCGGCTCTTCAGATTTTGAGGCATGGATAAATTCCATGAATGGCTCTGGTTTCTTTAGCTGTCCAAGGAGGCCTATCACCATTAACCTCCCTGTCCAATCTTCTCATAGCCTGTCAACAAGCCATCACTTGATTCCTCTCATTTGATGAGCGCGCCTTTTGAGTTTTTAATTTCCCATGCACCACCATGTTATTAATGGGGAAAAAGGTCTGTGACATGTTCCTGGGGAAAAAAGCAATTTCTAAACAGCTTAACTGAGATTTGAGGTGTGTGCGAGCATGTATAAACAGACAAATAGGGAGAAAGGGAGGGGGGAGAGAGAGAAAGAGAGAAAGAAAGAGAGAAAGAGAGAGAGATGTTTGAAGAATGTTCAGGAAAATATTAATGCTGGGTATTTCTAGGTGATGAAATTTTTATTTTTCTATTTCATTAAATGTCTTTATTTTTTAATTGCCTGAATAGCATCCATAGGATACTTTTAATAGACTGAAAGATTAATTAAATTTTTTTAAAAATCCATTAACTATACCTACAGGATGATTTAAAATTCAATTTCAAATATGTGGATAGAGCTAGAAAAATGGGAAGTGTAACAAGGAAGTGCTAGGTCCATGGAAAAGGAATCTCACAGAATGAATCTTGGTGCCTCTGAGAACTCCTTGGGTGGGTATCAGTGATCTTAGAGAGATGCTGGCCAGTACCACAAGTATCTGTTCCATCGGGCCCACACTTCCTCCCCCTGCCCAGCATCTGGGTCAATGACCAGCAATGTGCAAGTGTCTGTCCCATACCTAAAGGTCATCTGGAAGACTTGGCCTTGGTTCACATGCTGGGTCCGGTTGTTGTAACCATGTAGCATCTCTCCAAAGAGGGTGTCGTTGAATTTGGAGTCAGGTTTGAGGCACTTGGGGCCCTCGCAGACATCTGAGAGCATTAGGCAGGATTTTCCATCGGGAGCCAGTTTGTACTCCTCCACACAACTGCATGATAAAACAGAGTCCAGAGTTAGCTCCGCATCCTGGATGTCCCCATTGGAGGTGACCTAAAACAAAGGCCTCCTTTGCTTGAAAAACAGGTCAGAGTTTAGGAATGGAGACAGCTCTTCTGGCTGAAATCTATCTAGGGCACAGGTGTCTGGAGAGAAGCATATTAATCCTGCAAATTGGTAAATTCAAGGAAAGTCATTTGTGACATTTTGGAGGCGCCAAGGGGGATACCAGCATGCACATCCATGCACAAAGCAAATTTAAAAGCGGTTTTCCATGAACACACAGACTTAAGAGAGCATGACAGACCAATTCACTGGGAATTATCAACTAGTTTCTCAAACAAGAATCTATTCCCAGTGTATCTGTCAACAAAGGTTGAATACTGTAGCAAAAACAAGGTTTTTATTGCTCTTGGAGTACAGAGGTGACCTGTCCAGGACTATGGACAGCACACACTGCAGGGGCCAAGGTTTCTGTTCAATTATCAATGCTAGCAGCCTTTGTTGGTCTCTTGTCACCTTCCTGATAGCACAGAAGGGCACTTGACATCCTCTGAGGCTGAGATGGGTTCCTCTATGGACCAATCAGGCATCTGAATGAGATACAGAAATAAGATTTGCAAATTGGGAGTGTTTGCAATAGGTAAAGGATTTCTTAGAAAAATATGGGGCACTAGGGTGGGGGTGGAGTCAAGGAAGGGCAAAGGTCTCAGCATCTGACAAATGAAACCAGAAATGTCTACATTTTCATGGTCTTGTGCTAGGCGCAGGGAACAGGACACATATAAATTAATAAGAGACAAAAGAATACGTAACACACTTGAAAAATCCCATATAAATGTCTACTTTGCTCCTTGTGACCTATGTGAATCCAAGAAGTCATTTAACTTCTTTGTTTCCCAGCTTCCTCATCCGTAATGTGTGATTGGACCTCCCATCTTACTTAATTCAATAGAATGCCATGAGGTCACAAGATTCACTGGTTATAAAAATATTACAATGTACTTAACAAAGTCATTACTATAGTGGAAGTAATAATGGTATTTCTAGTTATTGAGCAGTTCTATCCACTGGACAATGTGCATATTTATTTCTTAAGCATGAAGAAGAATAAAATTCCTACTATGCACACATTATGAGAACCCCAAAATGAAGAATTTATCACGCTGTGAGTGGCAAAGTTAGCATTCAAATTCAGACCTGCTTAGCAGCAAAGAATTTTTTTTTTACTCTTGTCTCCTTCAAATCCAGTGGTTTCTCTTTGCATAATATGACATGGTCAGATTTTTAAGTTTGAGTCTGTATGAAGCAGGCTCTCTCTTATTTGTCTTTTTTCAAAGGGTGGAATGAAGATCCATTTAATCTGACTGCAAAGAGATTCAGGAACTCATAGGACCAGGCAGAGGCTCTGTGAGGTGGTTTGGAAACAAAATGTAAGCAAGTTGCTGAGACCAGTGGCTGATTGATACAAGAGTCATAGAATCAAACTGGCGGCAGAAAAAAAGAAAGGTGGAACTGGGCGTGGACCTGTAATCTCAGTGACTCTGGAGGCTGAGGCAGGAGGACTGCAAGTTTGAAGTCAGCCACAGCAACTTAGCAAGACCCTGTCTCAAAATTAAAAATAAAAAGAACTGGAAATGTAGCTCAATGGTAAAATGTTCCTGGGTTAAACCCATAGTATTAAAAGGGGGAGGGGGAGGGGGAGGGGGAGGGAGAAAGAAAGAGACAAGCAGAGCTGAAAGCATGACCCAAAACCACTTTAGTGAAAAGCCAGGAACTTCTCATGCATGAAGCAAGCTGTCAGTCTTTTCCTTGGCTTCCTCCTATGCCCCTGTGTACTACACTGATGCCCTGATTGTCTTTCTAATGTTTGCAAGTTCTTGCTCAAAGTAGAAGAAAAAGCCTCTTGGAAGGCAGCCCTGTCCTCAAGCTTGGTAAAGTCTATCCTTCCTTTTTGCTTCTGTAAATTCCTCTTACTACAGTTGCAGTGGAGATGAATTGAATGCATATGAAAATGTAGAACACATGTACGTGCTCTATCAAATCTAGCTCCCTATCTATCTTAGGAGGCCCTCAGAAAATAGGAAGAAATCGTTTCCTGGGTAAAGTAGATAGAATTCTCTCCCTGTCTCTGTCTCTCTCTCCACATACCCATATACATGCATGCCTCTGCACATGTGAATAGATTATTGTTGTCAATGAGTAAACATTATCAAAGTCTATAGAATAAGATGTGGAAGTTCTTCACTTGTCACTTCACACATCCTGTCCCAGTGATCATCACTGTCATCTGTTATGTATTCTTCCAGGACTTTTTTTCCAATGCATTTAAATACACATCCACAGCATAGACATTTAATAATAAACCCATCAAGAGAATTGCACTATGCATTGCTATGAGACATGCAATGACAACTAAGGCAATTTTTTGGAGATTCTTTTTGTCAAGTCTCTAACATATAAATCTGTTCTTTTAAAACGGCTATCTGGCACTGCACAGTATAAATGCAACATAATGTTTTTAACTAATTTTTATTGATGGGCACTTTGGCTGTTTATAGCTATTTGTTATTACAACAGTGCTATAATGAAAGTCTTTATACATATATCACTGTGCACATGTGTATGTTTCTATAAGACAGATTCTTACAAGAGGAATTGCTGGGTCAATGTTTTATGAATTTTAAAATTTTGATAGATCTACTAAATTGCCATCTGTGGAGGCTCACCCAGTTTACAAGCCCATCATTGATGAATGAGAGGTCCGATCTTGCCACATCATTCATATGGATATTGCCACTCTGGGATGGGAAAATTAACTCATATTTTGTTTGGACTTGCATTTCCCTGATTACTGGTGAAGTCCAGCATGTTTTTATGTTATGGTCATTTAGGTTTCTCCTTCTGCAGGCTGTCTGTTCATGTGCTTTGACCATTTACTACTATGATATCTGTCTTTTCTTATTGGTTTGCATATGCTCTGCATATTTTCTGATTAGTTATTCTTCACTCTCCAATATGTATTAGAATCTTCTTCTAGTCTGTGCTTGTATTTTAATCTTGCTTTTGATGGCTTATAACTTCTATATTCTAGTCCTTTATTGCTTCTGAATTTTATGCAATGTTTAGAAAGCTACAAGATGATAAAATATCTTTCTGTACATAATTCTAGCATTTTTATAATTTTTTGGTTTTGATTACTTAATATATATGGAATTTATTTTTGGGTGCTGTGAGAGTTGTTACTTTAACTGAACTATTTTTTAAATCAGGAAGACAATTACCTAAAAAGTTCATCTTTTTGCCAACTAATTTGAATGCGATTTTATCAGATTACTAAATCCCAATGTATAGCATGCATACGTGGCTGGGGATTTTTCCTATTTCCTTACATATATATTCCTGAAATAATTCTCCATCTTTTAATTACTCTAGATTTATGACTTGTTTTGGATAGGATAAAGTAAATCCTCTCTCCCTCATGAATGCTGATTTTCTATTTCAAACTTTTTAGAGTGCTCTTCCTTATTTTCCCCTTCAAATGAATTTTAGAATTAGCTCACCAAAGGCCAGGGAAAACCCTCATGAAAATTTGGAAGGTGGTGGATTAATTTTAGGTGGTAATGTATTGAAGTTGGGGGAAAGTTTTAGTCTTCAGTTAAGAATCATTCATATATATATATATATGATTGGAGAGTCAGTTCTGTGCTGGGCACTGTTGAGGGCTATGCCAGAGACACTTTCTTGCATTCATTGCACTGTTCCTCTCCCTGGGTACGCCCTGTAGACGAAGCTTTTCTTGCAATTGGCTGGAATTTTTAGCAATGGAACCAGTACTGATGAGACTTAGCCCTTCTACAACATCGTGCATTTTCCAGGCCCCTTTCTTCTCTTGCTCTGGTCTACTTGGAGATCATGTGTTTCAAAGGCATATTACAGGATGAAGGCAGGTGGCTTCCATCACAGCACACCTTGCACGAATAAGAAACTAACTTCTGTGTACATGTTTCTCTTTGGGGCAGGAGGTCTTCTCCTGTTAGAGCCACAAAGCTTATCTCATCTTAACTATTACAGCTTCTTTATAAATTGAAGTCTTCTCATTCAGAAAAGAATTTATATCTCCATTTATCATTTTTAAAAAATTTTTTGAAGTTTTAGACTTTTTGTCAGAAAGGTATGGCACATGTCTTATTCATAAACATTTATGGGAGGTACTACACTCTAGAGGTTACAAGCATGTGTTTTGGATCCAGGTCAACAGAGTCTAAATCCTGATTCCATCACTTACAGGCTGTGTGTGACCTCAGACAGACTGCTTAGCTTCTCTGAACCTTGTTTGTTTATCTGTAAAGAAGTCCCACTTTAAAAACCATTGTGAGAATTAAAGGTGTCATGTTTGGAACATGGTGTGTCCCTGGAGAGTGAAAGCTTCTATTATTATACTTTATCACTTCAAGAATATGATCATATTTTCACTTATATTTTCTAGTTAGTGATTTGAGAAAAGTTATTGATTTATGTCAGTTGATTTGGAATCCTACCAATACAAATAAGTCATTACTTCTAATGTGTCTCCCCAAATTTTCTAGAAGGATGAACACATATTTTCTCAGTTTGGGTTTTAGGATTAGAGAATAAATTAGAAAGCTGTCATTTTGGGTTTTTTTCTCTAGCTCAGTTTACCTAAGTTAGAGGTTATTGGTTCCTAGATGATTTGACAGGACCTGCCTATCAATCTCCAGGCTTGATATCTTCTTCTCAGTTGTTGATACTTAGCTTTCTTGTCATTTATTTCCACTTTATTTGCCTACTTAGATTTTCTATATCATCATGACTCAAAATTGGCAATTTGTGTTTTCTAAGAACATAATATATTTCACCAAGACTTTCAAGTGTGTTGGCATAAAGTTGCACACAGCATTCTCATAAAATTTGTTTTATCTTCTGTGCTTCTATAGTTATGTCCCTAGCTCATTCCTGACGTGATTTTTA